TCAAGTTTTGTGCAAAAACGCATGATCGCTCCGGCTCGCCTGGTGCGTTCCAGCCTACGTTTGAAGCTATGCAGTGCAGAAAAGGCATATTGACGAGGGGTTGTCTCTGTGTGTGTCTGTGTTTTCAACTGTACCGATTTTTCATCTCGAGACCGGCAAAAGCTACAGGGCTGAACTTTGGGGCATAATCTATATGCACGTACAGGCCCTCATCCCCGAAATGGGCGGTCTTACCCGCGTGGTACCCGCGTAAGAGCCCGCCAAAATTTCTCCCGGGTAAGTCCATAACCCGGAGATCTGAGGTGCTAGAAAGCTGAAATTTTAAGGGGATGTTCCCCGTCCGAGTAGGTATTAGTGAGCTGAAACCCAGCCCGCCGGTAAGCGTGGTACCCGCGTACGAACCCGCCAGAATTTCTTCCGGGTAAGTTGAAAACTAGAAAACTAAAATTTTAAGGGGTGTTTCCTGCCAGTTCTGGCGGCCAGTCTTAATTTGTTTAGCTAGAAACATTTGCCGAAAAAACCGATGCCGGTAGCGTAAAAAACAGCGGAAAACTATGCAAGAAACGTATCTTCGCAGCCCGTGTGTTGGCGAATTATTTTGCAATTACAAATGTTGCCGAGCAGAGCTTTCTTCCCAGTATATTCTGACATGCGCTGTTATGGGCAATACGTTACAAAACGCGTATCCATACAGATTTTAGCATACTTACTAGAGAATTATTGCTGATAGCAATGTGCTAATACCTGGGCTGCTTCCGAGTGTTTTCGCTTCTTCCGTCAATGCCATAGTAGCGTATTTTCTGGAAAGATAACAATGCCATAGTGACGTATTTTCGCCAGTAAATTGGTACTGGCGTATTCGGGAAGTCAGACTCGCTATCAGCTTGTCTGCAAAAGAATTCTTGAAATAGGTAGCAATCGTCAGCTCGCTGGCGGGCGGTTGCTATTGGCAAATGCTATTATTCGGGGCACTTCCGAATGCCTCCGCCTCTCATAAAGAGTGAATACGAGAGACACTTTGATTTTTATGCGTTTTTTGCAGTTATGCAATACAGAAAACGTGTACTAACGATGGGTTGTCTGTGTATCCGTGTATCTGTGTGTGCGTCTGCACCAATTTTTCATCTCGAGACCTACAAAAGCTACAGGACTGAAACTTTGGGAACTTAATTTACGTGCACGTACAGGCCCCAATTCCCAAAATGGGCGTCACTACCCGCGTGTTACCCACGTAAGTGCCCGCCAAAATTTTTACGGGTAAGCTGCCAACTCGGGAACCAGAAATGCTTGAGGGCTGAAATTTTTAGGGGACGTTCCCCGTCCAAGTAGGTGTTAGTGAGCTCAAACCCAGCCCCGGTTAAGCGTGGTACCTGCGTACGGGCCCGTGAATTTTTTTTGAGTAGGTTTATAACTCGGAGATCTGAGAGCCTAGAATGTTGAAATCTTAAGCAAATTTTCCCCATCCAAATCGTATTAATGAGCTCAAATCTAGCCCCCGGTTAAGCGTGGTGCCCGCGTATGGGTCCGCAAAATTTTTTTTTCGGGTAAGTTCATAACTCAGGAATCTGAGATGCTAGAAAGCTGAAAATTTACGGAGACGTTCCCTGTCCACGTAAGTCTTAAAGAGCTTCAAACCAGTCCCCAGGTACGTGTGATACCCACGCACGGGTGCAACAAAGTTGCTAATTCGAAATCCTGAAAAGCTAGAAGACTGTAATTTTAAGAGGATGTTCCCCGTCCACGTAAGTCCCAATGAGCAACGGGTATGTGTGGTACCCACGTACGGCTCGGGGAACTTTTTTTCCAGTAAGTTGCTAACTCAGGAGCCTAGAAAGCTAGAAAGCTGAAATTTTAAGGAAGTGTTTCCTTACAGTTTTGGCGGCCAATTTTAATTTGTTTAGCTAGAAGCGTCTGCCGGAAAAGACAGTGCCGTTAGCTAGAAAAATCTGGGCGAAAAAACGCGTCTTCGCACCGACTGCCCTGATGCGCGCCGCTATTTATCATGTTTTGTAATAGCTTTTTTTTTTTTTTTAAGAAGACGAGTTTAGGTAGAAGTGGAAATGCATGATCGGACTCATGTTATCGAGAAATTTATGGCAATCCAAGCGGACTAGACGCACTACATAGTGGACTCGTTGAAAACGCCAACTGGAATGGTCAAGGGTGCCGCTCTACGCACGGATGATACGCTTGTTAGCACCGATGTGACCGATGTATTACCGCATTTTAAAGTATTTTCCTGTTGATTTAGCGGAGCCAAAAATGTAGAGAACAGCCCTGTGCGCTTCTATGCTATACCGCTTAAATTTGGGATTTTTTCTTTTAATAATTTCAATTTTTAGAATATTTTTTGGAAGAACATTTGGCCCACATGTGCCGGAAAAGGGGAGGGAAAGGGAATTATTCAGCTCGGGATCGAAAGGCCCAAAATATCTACGGTTAACGTGTGGAAGGTATTTAGCCTTGCTATTTTTTGGATGTGATATTATTTATATTTAGTCAAATTCTGATCAGATTTCACTGATAACCCTTCCGCTACAAACAGACGGGCCATAGAAGGCTGAACCAAAATTGGACGGTCCAACTAGGGTCGTCGAAGAGAGTGAAATTGTCAAGTGGTTTTTTACGGCCGTTGCTAGGCCGAGCCATACCTTCTGAAGTAACGGCCCGCACAAACCGAAGAAAATTAAGA